GATTGAATGAAGACGTAGGATCATTCTAACCTAAAATTAAAAGTAGGACCTCCTGACAAAGGCCTTTTACTCATCATATAAAAAGGGACAGCAGCATAACTCAAGGTAATGCTGGTTCTCAAAGGGTGAGCCACAACATGGTGACAGTGACTGAAAGACTGAGCAGGTGGAGGAAGTGTGTGTCCTATGGCTTTTGACAACAAACTTACTTCTGTTTGGAAATTAGTTTTTAATTTGCTTATGATATTTATAACCAAACCACCATTTTCCAATTAACTGTGATTACATTAACATGTCAAGCAAATGACTATCAATACAATTCCTAGAATTTTATGTCATGAGCCAAAATCCTAGCCAGACAGAAAAAAACTGAAGCATAGATATAAAATAAGGCTTTCTGTTGATTCAGAAAAACGTCTTCAATGAAAGTAATTTAACTTTTAAGATTCCTTACAAGTTACAGCTTAACCTTATTAATCCCTTCCCATTTTATTTAAAATAAACACATTAAATCTTCATTTACTATCTCTCTAATAAAATCTATTATTACTGTATTCTTAGACAAACAACGTGTTACATGTTTTTTGCAATCGCACAACCCCCTCCCACAGTATTTTCCTAGGTATGCTACAGGTGTTATATGTAGGGGTGTGTTATTTGTGAAAAATACGGTACTCTGCGTTTCAAATCACATTAAACTTAGCATTAGAGTAATATATCCAAAATGTTAATTTACTTATACAGGGAACACCAATTTACCCAGTCTTCAGTTAAAAACAAATAATCAACACTTAAGACTACAAAAATCTGCATTGTAACTGTCTGAAAACATCTATAAAAAAAGTTGGACATACTAAATAGACACATTTGTATCTCACTATTAGCATAACTATTATTTATTACTTTATCAAGAAATAGGCAGTCTAGTTTCATCCCTGTAATAATTTAGAGTCTTGGATAAAGCGGCACTTAGTGAAGAATCAAAGTAAATAAGAGTCATCAATCATAAACAAGCAAACAGAAAATCGATTCTGGACACTGGTTCAGAGTAAACTTTTATTGCTGATTTTATACTTACATACTCCATGAAGTATAAATGTGAATTAGTGTTTAATTTAGTTTCTGTAATGCAGAGAGATTTTAATAATTTCTGTCAATGAAATAATTAATCAGACTAAACAAATAATCAGGTAGCCATTAAAAGCCATCAAAATTAGAAGAAAAACAAACATACTGGACACATCTGCAGAAAGGTAGAGGATACTGGGGTAGTTCACTCAGGGGAGAAGCTCCTCTACTAGGATCTCTCAGAGAGTAATTCATTTCGTGTGCCATAAATTAGTTTTTTTTTAAATAATATTTTAATGTGTTTTTGGTGAAGGTACACAGCAGCTTAGGTTCCCATTCAACAATTTCTACACAAGTTGTTAAGGACATTGCTTACATTCTTCACAATGTGTGTTGTGAATTAGTTTTGCAAAGAAATATAACCAAAAACATACCATAAATTTGCCTGTCATACCTACCAGTTTTTTGACGCTGTGTTATGAGTAGAGCTCTGGCGGCACAGTGGTTAAGAGTTTGGCTGTTAACCAAAAGACTGGTGTTCGAATCTACCAGCTGCTCCTTGGAAATCCTATAGGCAGTTCTAATCTGTCCTATAGGGTTATGAGTACAAAAATTAATTACAACTATGATTTAAGATGTAGCTATACCAAAGATATATATATATGTAGAAGAACGAGGCATCAGGATTGGAGGAAGACTCATTAACAACCTGCGTTACGCAGACGACACAATCTTGCTTGCTGAAAGCAAACAGGAACTGAAGTACTTACGGATGAAGATCAAAAACCACAGCATTCAGTGTGGATTACACCTCAACATAAAGAAAGGAAAAATCCTCAAAACTAGACCAATAAGCAACATCATGATAAACGGAAAAGAGATTGAAGTTGTCAAGGACTTCATTTTACTTCGATCCACAATCAACACCCACAGAAGTAGCAGTCAAGAAATCAAAAGATGCATAGCACTGGGCAAATCTGTTCCAAAAGACCTCTTTAGAGTGCTAAAAAGCAAAGATGTCACCTTGAAGACTAAGGTGCAATGAATAAGAAGACCAAAGAAGAAATGACACCTTTGAATTATGGTATTGGCGAATAATATTGAATATACCATGGACTGCCAAAAGAAGGAACAAATCTGTCTTGGAAGTACAACCAGAATGATCCTTAGAAGCGAGGATGGGGAGACTACGTCTCACATACTTTGGACAAGTTATCAGGAGGGATCAGTCCCTGGAGAAGGACATCATGCTTGGTAAAGTAGAGGGTCAGCAAAAACGAGGAAGACCCTCAATGGGATGGACTGACACAGTGGCTGCAACAATGGACTCAAGCATAATGATTGTGAGGATGCTGCAGGACTGGGCAGTGTTTCATTCTGTTGTACACAGGGTCGCAATGAGTCTGAACTGACTCAACGGCACCTAACAACAACAATACCAAAGATGTGGAGACTGACTACAGGTGAAGAACCTAAATGTGTTCTGCTTCTAACCATGGCCCTGGTGCCTGCTTTCTTAAAATGGTCACGTGTATTTCTCTTTCATGTACAGGCTAAGTAAACTATAAATGTTTTTGTACAACATATATTCTGAGCAATACCTGTGCTTTTATGTGAAACTGAAATAGCAATCCTGACACCTGTGATTTTCTTCACAAATACAATGGATCAAAGGCACTTCCTCAGCAGTTGGAAGTGATTTTTCTACTCCACTTGCACTGTCAGTTGACAAAGTGTGGGGAAAGACTATCCATAACTATTTCAAGAACGTGTGCTAAGGTATTTTGGGGGCAGCTTACGCCAAACCCTGCAAATTTTCAACCAAATCAGAGGATGACAGTTCTGTAGATGACACCAGGCCATAATTTTTTCCAAAGGTCACCAAAATGTTCAACTTAAAACACAGGCATCTTTAAAGTCAAAAGTCTCCAAAAATGCATGCTTTAAGGATCTATTTTTCTCATGAAACCCTCTGTAATATTTCATATTTTGAAGACCTAGGTCCAAAGACTGAACTCTTATGGTAGTGGGTTTCAGAAATGAGGGCAGGGAAGAAAATTGGGAAATAGGCTGGGAAAGAAAAACGGTAAAAATATTAAAAAAAAGTTAACTCTTTTAATACTGCTTCCCTAGGATATCTAGCAAGATAGCATCTTTTTATTCTCCTTAGGAAATGTTACGGTGGTAATCCAGTTGGCCCTCATATCCAGAAAAAAAAAAGTTCCAAAAAGTAAAACTTGAATTTGCAGCATGCCAAGCACTATGCTGAATCCACACGAAAGAAGTGATGTGTAGGCATACCCTGCTGTAGCCTCCTGCCATTTCACAGATCCTCAGTCTCTACCCAGCACTAGCTGTTTGAGCCTTGTTCATCTTGTGTCTCATTCATTCCCTACTTGTGTTGTGTGAACCCTTTTTTCTGTGACAAAACATCTCCTAAAAAGCAATTAAGTGATCAAAGCAATTCCTCAAAGGCTAAGTAAGTGTGAGGGGGCTAGTAAGGGATGGCTGGCTAGCCATGTAACATGCTACAGCCTCAAGAACTTCAAGATATGTGAGAATCTGCCCAGGCAGCATCAGTTTTCCCAGAAGAGCTCAAGAACTCATAGAAGAGAAAGGCTATCTTCCAGAGGAAGTTTTCAATTGTGATGAAACAACTATTTACATAGCATTTACACTGTTATTCAGTATTGTAAGTAATCTAGAGGTGATTTAAAGTATACGGGAGGATGTGAGCAGGTAATACGCAAATATTACGTCACTTTATATAAGGGACTTGAGCATCTGCGGCTTTTAGTATCTTATTGTGGGGGAGGGGAGAGGGGCGTCCTGGAAGCAATCCCCCGCAGATACCAAAACCAAAAAAACCAAACCCACTGCCATCCAGTCATAGTGACCCTATAGGACAGAGTAGAACTGCCCCATAAGGTTTCCAAGGAGCACCTGGTGGATTCAAACTGCCGACCTTTTGGTTAGCAGGTGAACTCTTAACCACTACGCCACCAGGGTTTCCTGCAGATACCAAGGGACGACTTTATAACTCTTCAACTCATACTCATTATAAATGTATTAAACATGTATGGAGATAGAAGGAAGAAAGCTCTACTTCTTCATTCCACTGCTGCCACACTACTGAACTGCCCTCCGACAGGTCACCCGATCTCAAATATCAAGAGTGTTTTCTCAGATCCCATCCTCTGAGACTTTTTTTCCCTAGCATCATTCTCTTTATTCTGGTAAAAATATATGTAATAAAAATTTACCAATTCAACAATTTCTACATGTGTAATTCAGTGACATTGATTACCACATTCTTCATGTTGTGCAACCACCATTACTATTCTTTTCTGAATTGTTCCACCATCATTAACATCAACTCAGTGCCCTCTATACACCACCCAGCTTAAACATTAGAAGTACTTTGAGTATTACAGCCTCATTATACTTCGGCTTAATAGTCTGCCCATTGATTCTTCTTGATCTTTGATAGCATTCAGCATACACTGATGCATGCGATGTGTTGTGGCATATTGGATAGGAAAGAGTATATTGTTCAGAAATGGACCAGTCATCCAAGAGAAAAAAAGACTCTACATGTTTCAGAAATTTAAATGTGATTGCATAATTATTTCATACACACTTAAAACAATATAAAGTTCCACTGTTCTGCATTTTAATTTTCTGCATTTATCACCATTCCCAAAAACGAAGTTTAGTTACCAAATTAGAACTGTTCCTCAGTAATGCTGCAATCATTCAGTAAACAAGCTTTGCGTAGTATAAAATTTTTTACTGACAAAAGCAATTAAAAGTACAAAAGAACAGAGTACTTCCTTTTAAATCTTAACATTGAATAAGCTCTTCTTTAAATACTTTCAGAAAAAGGTGATCATGATATATGGAATTGGTTATTACAAAAAACACACACGTACTCTTTAGTGAATATTCCCCGGGGGCCAGTCGCAGTGCCTTCGCTAGCATCCAGTGCGTGTTTATCCAGAATATTACGTGCAGCTGGACTTACACGGAACCTAAGAAGGAAACATGAAGATTAATGGAACCAATTAGCACTTCTATTTGATTCACGTACATTTAAGTGCCAACAGTTTTGCTGATAATTAGAAAAAATAAAATCTTATAATAAAGTTACAATGACTCCCACAGACAGTCACAGTCAAATAAATTAATCTTTATTAATCTGTTTACTTTATTGCCAAAACACCTTCATAAACATTTAACTACATAGTTATTCTTTCAAAAATATTCTTTAATAAAAGTAAATATTCATTAGGGGAGACAGCTTATATTTTGGCTAATTCTTTTTTAGATGGCTACTCATCACACAATTATAAATTAAGAATTAATTATATTATTCCTTTATATAATTTTTAAAGTCCTTAATATTTACATAAAAGCTCTTTTACTTTATATACGTGCCATAAGAGTAAGAGAGGCAGTAACAATTATAGTGATGTTATAGGCAAGGAAACAGAGGCACATGACTAGTAAAGTGTCTACTTTTCCATTAAGATCTTAAGGCAAGGTAGCAAAAATAAATGCTGACATGGTCAGGTAAAGAAAAATGAAACAAGCTGGGTCCAGAAGTTTAAAATTAGTATATGGGGAAGAGTAACTGTGGCACTTGGCACATTTCAGGAAAATCTTCAGCTCCAGCTGAGATGGGCCCGGTACGGCCGAATATTCAGATTTTTCAAGAAAAGCTAAAATTTGAGATTTTTATGGAAAATTAACTAGTAGCCAATATTCAAATGAAAAAACAAAACAAAAAACCAATTCTGCATGGGCCAGCATTGTGCAGACTAATGAAAACATACTAATTCATGGGTCAGGAGATTTTGAATCTACAACCTGGTACCTCAGACCCATGTTAGATCTCTGATGATGACTGATTTTAGTAGAATGATACAGTACACATTATCATTCAAGATCGTAGATGAGAGTGAAGTACACAACAATACTTCGGCCTTTCTTTTTTATTACTTATTTACAAGGGGAAAAATCATTAGGTACAAAACATCAGTGAGAATACTGGCATGCAGGTGTTCTGACTTTCACGTTAAGTAAAAGAAGAAAAAATGAAGGGGGAGTAAAGGCAATAGAGTTAGATCTAAAGGGAATTTTAAAACCAGTACTTAAAAAATACTGTAAATTTAAAAACTAACAATATTATTTAAGCCAAAAAAATTATATATAATTACATAGATTATTAAATAAATAACAATTTGTGTCAGAATTTGCAGAGTCCATCATGTAAAGCTATCTTTCTAAAACTAGGTTTACAAAGTATCTGTGTTGGATACAGACACAATTGGGAAAAAAAAAAAAAAAAAGAGCTTTTATCCGTGTCAGAAACCCAAATGCAGAATAGCTTTAAAAGGAATAGATGCTAAAATGCTAATTCCATTTTAAATCAGTTATATATTTGAAACTGGAATTCACATTAACTAAAATTCCATGAATGGGAACACAGTACAAAATTTGGTATCTTGAATGCTGTTCTGGAATCCTAAAACCTAATTCAAGTTCAAAAGGGACAAAGACTATTTTGTTCTCTACTGGGTCAGCAAGGCTTTCACAGTAGATGGAACATAACAGGTATTCAGTAATTTTGTTTGCTGAATAAACAATGATAGTAAAATAATCATTGCTAGGCCTCAGTCTCATAAGAGAAAAAAGATCAGTAACTTTCTACTTCATGATAATGATTAAAATACCCTAGAGATTACTATATTATTATTTTAATCACCATTCAAATTAAACATACTCACTGAAGTTTCCCTGGTGTGTGTTCCTTTTGGACAGGGATAGAAATCGGTGGCTCTGGTGGAGGGTGAGGCACTGATGGTTTTGCAGCTGGTGACGGAGGACCTACATCTTTGGGAATTTCAACATGTTTCCAATCTTCTCCTTCTTCAACCATCAAACCAATTAGTGAACCTAGCCGTATATTTTTAGCTCCTTCTTCGACCTATATTTTAAAAAGAAAATAATTGTAGAGATGGCCTCATGAAGCAGTTTATTCCTTTGTTGGACAATTTCATATTGGTTGGAAATATCTCTTATTTTGAGCTGAAATATGCTTCCAACCAGTCTCCCTCCTTCTACCCCCACCATACTGTCCTACCTGTCCCCACTTCCGTCAGCATCCTCCCCTCCCAGTTTCTAATACTGCCTCCTGAAAAAAAGAAAAAATTTGGGGTCTCTCCTCTTTCTGACGGTCTTCAAATATATCTGAGCTATCATTACCATCTTCTTTACAATGTCCATCAGTACAAATCAAAAACAGGACATTGTGGTTACATATCTCAACTTTTGTCTTTCCCATATAGTTTCTACACAGTGGCTTAGGAATTCCAAGAGGGCATAAGGCACTAACTCTCCAGTTAGTCCTATTTACTGAAATGAGCTTAAAGTAAAATCTCTTCAGTAAATTTAGCCTCTGGAAAAAAAGAACTAGTTAACTATCATGGTGTGTAAGGTGTAATTTCCTTCTCTATACATATTTTAATTCTTTCCGTATTTACAAAATTTGAGAACTAAAATTTCATGAAATTTTTCTATCAGAAACATAGCGGTGTCTCAGCTAACCAAACACTTTGTCATAGATAATGCCAATTAAAAGCATAGATAACATTGAAGATGATTTTCTCAAAAACTTAAGATAAATATATTTTAAGCATTTCAGTAGTGCTAATTTATAAAGAAAGTGATTCTTCTTCATTTATAAAAAGAAGTCCCTACAGAACCTTCAGATGGCAATACTTTTATGAAATTCAATACTGGAAGAAAATGTCATTTCTTTAAAATTTTCTATTATTTCCTTTCAATTACTCTAACTAAGGTTCATTACAGATGTAATTTGATGCATAATAGGATGACAGAAGGCAAGGCATTCACTAATACAGTAATTATAAGTAAAAGCATAACTCCTAGAATGGGTTTGACATTTCTGAGTAATACTAATTTTGATGCTGATTAGTATGAGCACTATTCTTAAAGTAAAAAGGCATAAGTTCTGGGTGTTAGGAAGATTTCTAAGTTTACTTATTCATGACGGAGAACAGAACAGTGCTTTGATGAAGCAAACTATACATAAGAAATGGTCGTACAAAACTAAATAAGAATGCTTCATGAATTGCAAATGGAAAAATACTTAGCAATCCAGGAAACAATATCCAAGTAAAAGAATTTCACTCAAATGAAAAGCATTCATTTAATTTAAAATTAAAAAAAGAATTGTTTTAAACCTATCAATAGATTTCTGAAGTCTGAGTCAGACACTATACTGAATCTGAAACTGACACCTCACTGGTTTCAATTATTACAATAAGTCTTATAAATGACTCCATATATACCCTACCAATATGATACTGACACCACAAGTAGGCAATAATGTGCATTTAGCATCATTTCAATTTCTATCATATCTAAATATCAAATAAAATTTATTTTTAACTACTCACATTTTTTATCCATTAAAAAAAATGGCACCGTGAAGCATGACCCCAAATACAATGGACAAAGACAAGTGAAATACTTTCATATAACTCGGCAGTAAGTTAAAGGAAATTAATATCTACAACATTATAATAGTTCCATTTAAAGTCATAAAAATCACTACATGAATTTAAGATAATTCATCTGACTTCTGTTCTCTTAGTGCAAAAAGAGATCTTTTAGAAGTGTGCTAGTTTTCTCTAGACATTGGAGATAATAATAGTAGCTACCACACAGTTGTTGAGGAATAAATTAGTATCTGACATGTAATAACTGCTATGTAAGTATTATTATTATTACTGTGGTTGTGTTTTCCTCCAAGTCACTGATTCTTAAAACAAATAATACATTCGACAAGACAGATCAAGATCGGACTACAGAGAAGTGCACCCTTGGCAAGGGTTGCAAACTCATGCCTAAAGGGCCAGGGCCAGACTGGCAGCACTAGTGGGTGAAAGGCAGCATATAAGCCAGTATAGGTGGTAAGGCTACTACAACAAATCATGTTTCTCAAAAATACCCATACGAAGGCTGAATTCCACCTCTAGGTCCAGGCCCCTAGTATGGGGCTTATATACTAGGGGTATCCCTATAGGCTGCATTAACTACCTGCAAATATGCTAAAATCACTCCACAGCCCACCTCAGCTCATCATGTTCCCAAGGATGCTGAAGTCAAGATACAAAATATCTATAGCATTATTTCCCAACAGAAGTTGTTTGAGGGAATTTACTCCATTCAAGGTGCTAATAAATACTGTTTTGATTTCTGACTTTTGAAAATAATCAGTATATTAAAAAATTGTCTAAACAATTTTTCTCTGTAAACTAGAACTGTTTGAGAGCTGCAAAGTAAGTACTGAAGAAGCATGCACAGTAGTTAGTGGGGAGGAGCTGAATCACATGACTGATGATTTGAACCATTATAAAGTTTTAAATTACTTTAATTTTTTAAAATATACTTGTTATGGATTGAATTATGTCCCTCAAAAACATGTGTTGTAAATCTTAACCTCTATGTCTGTGGTGGAGTCCTAGTGGCACAATGGTTAAGAGCTCGGCTGCTAATCAAAATGTCAGCAGTTCTAATACACCAGTCACTCCTTGGAAACTTATGGGGCAGTTCTACTTTGTCCTATCGGGTTGCTAAGAGTTAGGTTAGGCTTAGTTTTTTTTTTTTTAATGCCTGTAGTTACAATCCCATTTGAGAATGGGGTGTCTTTGTTATGTTAATGAGCAGGATTAATGTAGGGTGTATCTTGAGTCAATCTCTTTTGGAATACAAAAAAGATTAAACAAGCGAGCAGAGCAGAGACAGGTTAAGACTGATGCCAAGACACATGGAGATCTCCAAGGAACCAGGAAGCAGAAGCTGAAGAGACAAGGACCTTCCTCCAGAGCTGACAGAGAAAGCCTTCCCTAGAGCAGGTGCTCTCAGTTTGGACTTCTAGTCTCCTAAACTGTGAGAAAATAAATTTCTGTTTGTTAAAGCTATCCATTTGTGGTATTTCTGTTACAGCAGCACTAGATAACTAAGACAGTACTGTTTAACTTATATGTGCAATGAACTTTGGTTTAAAAGGGAGATACATAAGGAACATTAAAGCTGAAAACAAAACCATGACAAGCTAAAAATCATAGAGGGAGAAGAAACATTCATTAAGTCCTTGAATAATAGTTGTTTGGCATTCATCAAGTGCCAGGCACTGTTCTAGCACAATATTAACTCATTTAGTCCTCCTAACAACCTTATGAGACAAGTACTATTATTATTCCCATTTATAGATGAGGAAACTGAGCCACAGAAAGGTTAAATAACTTGCTTAAGATGACAAGGCCAGAGCCAGGATTCAACTGCAGTCCTACCTTAGAGACTGCATTCAAGGTGATCAGTATCACATCTATAAACTGCATTCCATCAATCAAAATTATCATACACCACATCAAGATGGTGTCAATACTTTAAAAAATAAGCTTAAAAGGAGAAGATACAAGGTAGATTATAACTAATTTGACGTTTCATTTACAAGCAAAGAAGACTCTATGTTTTCACAATGTATTGACCCATTTCAAAATGAAAAAAAAAATAGAACTGAGAGTATCTTTTATTTAGAAGAATTTGCTCAGAGCTTTCCAGCTACCTCAGCACTTAGAGTGCAAATATTTTCTCAATTAAAAGTATCATGGTCTACGGAGAAGAATCAATTGAGTTCTCAACAACTTCAAATTTATTATTGAAGGCAAATGTAGGCAATTTCATGAAAAATGGAAAAAACCCTAACAAATAAAACCATATGAAAGAAAAAGATTCTTTAGAAAAGTACCAGTGGCACAATATTAGAATGAGATACAGCTAAGAAATTTATTGAATAACATGAATATGTACCAAGAGTAATTATTCTCTACTGTTTTTTAATATTCAGATGATCAAAAATGAGTTAAAAAATCTGCTTCAATATCCATGAGTATTATTTTTTACGAAGATTTTATTTCTGAAAATAGTTTTAAATAATACTGGTCTACCAATATAATAAAATCCTATCAATGAAATTATTGCCAGTCAATAAATAAAAATTTCAAAAAATTATGTTTAATTAATTTTAGCATCCTACATCATTTTACCCTCAAAAATGTCCCGGTTTGTAATGACATATTATATAGTCACCCTAAATATATTGAAAGTCAAACTAGACAACCTCTAAATAACCTTCCAAACATGTCATCCTTAGATTCTATTTTATTAATTTATCATTTAAAACACCTGCTGTCCAATTTGCTGAACACTGTATTTAAGACTAAACTGATGAAATGATCTCTATGTGTGTAATAACTTAAGATTTTCTACATGATAATGTACAAGTGGTTAAAGAAGAAATTAAAAATTCTCCCACTAACTAAAATAAATAGGAAATAAATCATAAAATTATCTATGCGAACAGCAATTATCCTTTCATTAACATAATTAACAGTCTCTAAGCTTTGTTTCTGGTTCTAGTTAAAATGTAATAAATATTATTTTATATTTAAAATGGAATTCAGATGCACAAATTTTAAGAGTACAAAAAAAATACTGAAATTGTGGGGAAAATAATATAAAAGCCTCTAAATGACTGGGAATAAATCCCTACGAAGAGTAAAAATAGACTATAATTTTTAATCCTTTCAATAATGTGGGCTAAAATGAAAAACTAGAGTTTTAGATCATCCTTTCTCTTTTAATAGGCTCAATTACCCTACTCCTTGATTTTGAAAGCAAAAATCTTTTACCTATATATGTACTTCTATAAGAATCACTTAATTACGTGTGTTAATACAAGCACTAGCCAACAATGGAAGACAAACGAATACCTCTTGCTAGTGGTGGTGGTAGTGGAGGGAAGGCACCAAGGTGATATTGGGGGAAAAAAAAGAAAAAGGCACCAGTAATATCCCCTTAATTTTTCCCCTCATTTTCTTCCTTGTAAAATTGCATACACTGTGACATAAATACATTGCTATCCCCATTATCTAAAATGCATGCAGAATAAAAATAAAGCCACAAAGCTCCCCAAATATACACAATTTTCTCTTTGGCAAGGAAACAGTTATTCATGCTGCTAAAGCTGCTATCAATTATAAACTCCCCCTTCGAGCATTAGGGGCAAGATAAATAGGCACTACTGACCCACAGACATTGTTAGCAATTTGAAATGCATTACTAAGCAGCTAAGTGGAAAATGCTATCAATTCTGGAAGACTTTCATAGCCAAACAATCTAGAGCTAGGACCAAGAGCACAGATTGCGAAAAGTGCACACAATAAAACCTAGCTGGGTTTATTACATATAGTTAATATTAAAAAATGCAACATAAATTAGTCAAAGAATCTATTTTTGGCATGAATATTTACATTTTATCAGTTATAAAGGTACAGAAATTTTACCCTCTTACTCATTTCTTCCTCCAAGGAGGTTAGCTGTATGAAACTGCAGATAAAAATGTGTTTCAAATTGGCCGCTAATATCATAGATGACAAGTAAAAGAAGTTTGACAAATTAGAAAGCAAAAAGAAGACCTGAGTGATTAGAAAAGGGAAAGGGAATTTTCTAGTAAGAAACATGAATGAAAAAACAAATTGTTTATCAATCTACATCTAATTAGAGTATAAAGTTCCAAAGTGTGGTCTTTGGTTAGCATATACAAAGGAAGGCATTACATCCATGCTCAAAGCAGAGGTGAGCTGGTGAGTCAGAATTAAAAACACACCAACAAGGGACTACTAATGGATGTGCAGCTATCTGTACAAATCAAACTATACAGGCACAAAAAAGGATACTTCTTGTCCAGTGACAAACAACCGATACAAATTTTAGACAAATATACAGACTGACAAGGGGTCCAATGGTCACCAAGGGCTGAATAAACAATAATTGTAATAATAATGGCAATACAACATTTATTGAGCATGGCAGCTCTTGGAATGAGCATATATGTATTCTCAGTTAATCTCTCCCACCACCCAATGACACATGTATTATCTCCACTTTATTATGAAGAAAAGAAGCAGAGAGAAGTTAAGTAACTTGCCAGTCATCACATAACCATTAAGTGGCAGGGCTTATTAGCTATATATGCTTTATTAGCTTTAGGCAGCAGTTAGATTCTAGAGTCTACAGTTCTAGTAGCTACACCACAAAAAACGAAACCCGTTGCTATCAGGTCAGTTCCGACTCATAGTGACCCTCAGAGTAGAACTGCCCGAGAGGGTTTCCAAGGCTGTAATCTTTATGGAGGAGCTCTGATAGTGCAGTGGTTGAAGCACTCAGCTGCTAACTGAGAGGTCTGCAGTTCAAACCCACCAGCTGCTCCGCGGGAGAAAGATGTGGCAGTCTGCTGTAAAGATTATAGCCTTGGAAACCCTACGGGGCAGTTCTACTCTGTCCCTTAGGGTCACTGTGAGCCAGAATTGACTTGATGGCCACGGGTTTAATCTTTATGGAAGCAGACTGCCACATCCTTCTCCCACAGAGCAGCTGGTGGGTTTGAACCATCAACCTCTGGTTAGCTCCTAGTGCTTTAACCACTTTGCCACCGACTGTACTATCTGTTAAATGGTCAGCTCCACCAGTGACTATATTACACAACTCTAAATAGTCGTGCTTTAAGCATTTTACTTTACTTACTTTTCACATAAACTCTAATTTTCCATTATAAAAATGGCATACACATTATAGAAAATTAAAAAAATACAGAAAATAGCAAAAAGTGAGGTGGGATGATTCAGTTCCACTCCCCAAAGACAAACAATTAATGTTTTCATAACTCCTTCTTCTAGTATTTTCTCTATTTATGTTTTTCCTTAAAGTCCTACATGATTGTAATCATTGCTCATATACAATTTTAAAAGTATCTTTTCCAAAATTTTTGAACTTTTATTAACACATAACATACACGAAAAAACACATTTGTTTTCTAGAAACAATTTTAATAGATATATGATATTCCACATTTTATTGTTATTTAGGTAATCACTTACATTGCTAGGTATTTTGGTTGAAGGGCTGTACTAACTTTTATTCCTAGTAATACCATTAAAGTATTCAAGCTGTAGCTTCATATTTTTAGTTAGTTATAAAGCAAAGACTTCCCAAAGAGTACTCAAAATTACTGCATATATTAAAATTTCAGAGGAGCCTTGATGGCAAAATGGTTAAATGTTCAGCTAATACCAAAAGGCTGGTGATGTGAACCCACTCACCAGCTCTAGGGGAGAAAAGGCCTGGCGATCTGTTCCCGTAAAGATTACAGCCTAGAAAACCCTATGTGGCAGTACTACTCTGTCCTACAGGGTCACTATGTGTTGGAACCAACTAGATGGCACACCACAACAACATTAAAATTCTGATCTAAAAGGAAATTACTCTGGTCTTCCTAGATCCATGAATACATTTTCCATAAAAAAAGCTCATGGAACAGAAAATATTCTATCTAAAAATAAGATGGTCAACTCATCTATACTCAAATAAATGAAATATACATATCTTTTTATATAAATATATATTTTAAATAATTAGAAAAAAATGTCCAAACTATAAGGATGAGTAACCACTGAACCAGGCCAGTGACTGCGGCTATGAAGTCTACAGACAACAATCTTTATAGGACAACTTAAAAACAGTTTTGCCTGGAGACAAGAGCAGAACAGATGATCACTTTACACACTTCCAGTCCTGAGAGTCCTGGAGTCTACAAAGATAGGATTTCTTGTTTTCATGTGATGGTACTAAAACATTCCTTCTTTTTGATTTTACCAACTACAAACTTGGAAATTTCTAGCTCTAAACGTTCATCTATTGCCTTCTTTGACTTTAGATTCCACCTCAAATAGTTTTCTCTCATCCCTCGGGCCAGAATGCTTCTCATTCTCCACTAGGAAACCCAAAACACTGAATATCATTGTCACAGTTGAAATGGTTTTACACTGTTTGATCATCACTGGCTATTAGTATTAGACATTGACACTAAACCAAAAAAAACCAAACTCGTTGCCATCAAGTCAATTCTGACTCATAGTGACCCTACAGGACAGCAAAGAACCACCCCATAGGGTTTCCAAGGAGCGGCTGGTGGATTTGAACTGCCAGTCTTTTGGTTAGCAGCCGAATGCTAAACCACCATGCCACCAGGGCTCTAGACCTTAACACTAGAATATTTTAAACATCTGAATTAAAAATATATTAAATAGTAGATAACATAACACAATAAGTAAAGAGACTTTATTTCAAGCAACATTACATTTAAGAAATCTGCATTCTATTGAGAATGATCCAAATAAAAACTTACCACTATTTTGGCCAAGATGCCATCATCACCTGCATCTAAGGTAACCACAGCTTTGTCAGTCTCAATTTCACATAATGCATCTCCAGCACTCACAGCTTCACCTACAAAACAAGACTGGGTTTGTTTTGGTTTTAAAAATATCAGTATTAATATATGGGGTGTGTGTATATAAAACATGAATAATAAATACCAAAATGTTCAGTAGCTATTTATTTTCTAGGCTGTAGAATTATAAATGTGTGTGTTTGTATGTGTGTGTATGTGTATGCTTTGCTGTATTTCGCAGCTCCACAATGGACATAAACTATATTTGTTATGAGAAAAAAATGCTATTACAAAGATTACTGAATGAATATTAAAAACAAAATCACATTTTAGAGATGACAGCAATGAATGTATATCCTCCTCAGAACAAATCAATTCCAGATTCCACACTTTTTAATATACTACATTGATTACTAGTCCAGGTAGAGAAAAGCTTTAAAATTAATAGCACTTCTGGGTTATCATGGTAGGGTGAGTTCAGAAACCCTGTTGGCACCACACACACAGTATAAATGAATAACGCATAAAAACAGAAAATAAAAAAAACACAGCCGAGGTCAAATAAATATTTCTGTGCAACAGAAACAGCATGGAAACCTACAAATGTTGGGCAGGACCTAAAGCTACAGCCTTGCTAGTCTCTGGGTCTAGAAGCAGGTTGGGGGTCGGTGGGAGAGGGCTCATTTGGAGTAAAGAGAACTAGAAGTGGCCTGCTGGAGACAGGGACTTAAATCAGATTTGCTACTTAAAGCTATGGCTGGGTCAGGGTATCTCTATCTTTTATTAAGAGGATAATAAAATGGGCAATCAAAAACTATTAAATGGAGCTATTGCTTCAATCAGAAACTGCAGGTCTAGGAGGTGGGAGACAAAAACACTGCCTCAGTACCAGGAACTGAGTCAAGCCACCCTCTGGCTCCATGGCTGGATCTGCCAATATCCCTAATATCCCTAGCAAAATTCCTAGATTGGGGAGTGGGAGAAGGGGATAGGGAGGTACAGGGTGAGAGGGAAGAAATGAAGCAAAATCAAAAACCTTTTGCAAAACAAAATTCTGAAACAAATGAAGAAATCTAATGCTAAGAAAGCAAGCAACAAAATCAATAATTGGAATAGAAATGTATTCCAGTTGTAATTCATTTAATGTAATCTGCCAAAGATTTTAAAATAAGTTATCATGAGGAAGTTCAAAGAAATAAATGAAGGTAAAAGACCCATTATGAGAATGAGGAATAAAAAAACAAACAAAAAACCCAGAAGATTAACAACGTACAGAAATGTAACAAAAATAAGATCAGGTAGAAAAAGAACAAATTAGAAATCTTGCAAGTAAAAAATACAGTCATTGAAATAGAAACAATCAGTGGGATGTACTCTAGACTGGACATGGCGAAAGAGTGAATTAGTAAATTAAAAGAGAGCACTTAGAAACTACCTGGAATAAAATATAGTAAACAGGGAAAAAAAAAGATAAAAAATAAGAAAGAACAGTTAAGAGACACAGATTGAAGCCGCAGTGTTTGTCTAGTGGAATACCAAAGGAAGAGACTGGAGGGAATACACACACACACACCACCCACACACACACACACCCACACACACCCACACCCACACCCACACCCACACCCACACCCACACACACACCCCTGATGGCGCAGCAGTTAAGAGCTCAGGTTGCTAACCAAAAGGTTAGCGGTTTGAATCCATCAGCTGTTACTTGGGCTTGCGTCTCTCTCTCTCTCACACACACACATCCTCAAAATGAAAGTCTGGAACAAGTTTATTTTGGAGAGTGTATTGACTAGATGGGGCCATGAGGGAGTCTTGTGGTTTGCTAGAAATGTTCTTGATATAGTGGTAACGTGGGTATGTAAAAATTCACTGAGCTGTATAATTTATGCAAATTATACCTCAATAAAAAATAAATAGAAAAGGCAAGAGTATTAAACTGTATAAATATGAATCCACATTACACACACTATAGAGTAACTGCAGAAAATCAATAATAAAAACACAATCTTAAACACCATCAGAACAAAAACAAAACAAAACAGAACAGATCACCTCAGTGGAATGACAGACTGAGAGCACTTTTCACTAGCTGCAATAGGGGTCAGAGGTCAGTGAAGTAATATCTTCAAAGAGCTGAGGAAAAACAGCTGTCTAGAATTTTATATGCAGCCAAACCATCATTCAAAAATGAAGGAAAAGCATTTTTTAGACATAAAGGCTAAGAAAATTTACGACCTATTGATGATCACTAAAAAAGCTATTACAAGACGTAGTTCATCAAGAAGAAAAGTGGACACGGGGGGAACGCAGGGAAAACAAACAAAAAAAAAGTTACCACAGAAACTGATAAAATGTTAATGACTGACCATAAAAAAGGTAACTTTTGAGAGTTTAAAAAAGTTTAAAACTAAAACTATAAAAAATAAAATAAATAAAGGAATGTTTAGGTGATGCTAAAGCATGCTAAGAATTCTGATATAGTTAGGAAGAAAAAACTGAATCAGTCAAAACTGTATTGATAAAATTTTGTTAAATACTTATCCTAAAAACTCAAAGGTATACATAAAAGAAATATAATCTATAGCATTCAAAAGAGCAGAGGAAAAATAGAAAATAACAAAAAGCATCCAATTGAAAGTGTAAGCACATGAAAAGAAAAAAGCAAAGGAAAAAAACAAAACACAAAAAATGGCAGAAATATGTCAGCAAATGCAATAAATATAAATGGACTGAAATCACCTATTAAAAGCTGAGATTATCAAAATGAATACAAAAAAAAAACCAAAATCTAGGTAAACGCTGCTCACAAGAGACAGGCCTAAAACAAAAACACAGAAAAATTTCAAAATAAAAGGGTAGAAAAATATATAACATAAAAATACACATCCCTTTCACACATACCAAAAATAGCCAGGAGAGTAATATTAATAGGAACATTCAATAGGAAGACATGAAGAAAAATCTACAAAACTAAGTTAACAAATATGCTCTGATGGTTCACTGTACAGAAATGACTTCATTCTATACCAAGATGTTCAAATAGATGGTTACATGATATCCTCAGTTTAAATAGTTCAGAACTGCAATATAAGCTATTTTAATGAAGTAAACAAACTTATCTATTAGGAGATACTTACCGACCACCTAAAAGGTGACTGGTCTAACCCCAAAGAGATTTCCCCCTTCAATGAATATTTATTGAAAACTGTATTGGAGCCCTGAGGATATGGCAGTGAAAAAGCAAATCAAACAAACAAAAATAGACAAGGTAAGCTTTCTGACCTCAAGAGGCTTGCTTAACAGCTAGTGACCAGTAAACTGGAAATGACAATATACAGTGAAACCTGCGAAAGCTGGAACATATGGAAACCTGTGAGAGAAGGAAAAAATATTTTCCACTAAACGAGCAATAGAAAAGTGGTAAGACTGCACCCTGTCAAAGGCAGAAAACTTGTAAGACCCGGAAAAATAAGGCAGTCCCATCAAGTTCCAGCTCTCACAAGTTTCACTGTATAAAGGTTTAGGTCAGGGAACACTCAGGAGGGGCATCTAATTAAGTATCTGGAAAGTGAGAGAAGGCTTCCTAGAAAAAACTACCTAAACTGAGCCTGAAAAGACGAAGAGAAGGAGACAAAAAAGTACAGGGTCACTGATCCAGGCAGAGGAAACAACATGCCCACAGTACTGGAGGCAAAAGAGAACATGAAAATTTGAAAGACCTGGCAGATAATACAGGAGAGAAGCAATGAGAGATTAGGCTGGTGAGTAAAGCAGCAACCAGACTATCATATAGAAAGCCACAGTTCCAGATTATATAACCTTATATACTTCTTACATGACAGATACTTCAGTGGTTAAAGTAGATTATATTTCAAAACAAAAAAAACAAAAACATTGTATGTTTCTGCTATAACTACGGGAGAAACAATTGAACTAGGCAACCTAGCAAATAAATACTTCTTAGGCTGGAAAGTAAACTCTGGCCACCGGAAAGGAGAGTAAAATGATGTTTTCTCATTTTTGCTCTCCCATATTCAAATTCGAACCACCCTTTAAAAACCAAGAACAAATTCCACTTCCGCCATACAACTTTCTCTGATTAACTCAACTTGACAGTTTTGTTCCTATTCCTGAATTCCTATAGTAGCTACAACTAATTTGGAATGAATCACATATTGCATTATAAAATTTTACGTTGCTACTGTTCATTACTTGATTGGGTTTTTCTCTATTTACTATGCTGTGAGATTCTTCACAACAGGATACATCTTAAGTACTTTATATCCCACCCTCAAGCGAGTTCCTCACACATAGTTTCAGGTTAAGATATTTTAGAAAATTTTCCAAATCCTCATTTCCTCGTAAGTATACATCAAACTACCCTTTACATTTCTTTTGTTTCTAACATTTGCTTTGCAGCATGCTTCTGATATTTAAAGAGATGGGTAGCCTCTCGTCTTTGTTTAAAAACAAAACAAAAAAGACATCTCTATCTACATATTTTAGTTATATGAGAATGCCGACAAAGCAAGGGAGAGACAGAGGAACAGAAACTGGTGGGGGTGGGGTGGGGGGGAGGGTTGAGGGAAGAAAATGGAAAGAAAAATTAAGAAGTATCTATCTATTGTGGTGTGGTTAACTTTACTCAGGAACTATAGCCAAGTTTAAAACATAGTATTTATATGAGGGTACCCCCCCCACCAAAAAAAGTTGCTGTCGAGTTGATTCCGACTCATAGTGACCCTACAAGATAGAGCAGAACTGTCCGCATATGGTTTCCAAAGAGCAGCTAGGGGATTCGAACCGTCAACCTTTTGGTTAGTAGCCGTATCTCGCTGTAGCTCTCAACCAGTGCGCCACCAGGGCTCCTATAAAGGTGTATTACCCCTAGTTTATCACAAAACTAAGGTTCTATCAATAGTCAAACATAATGTAAATGCCAAAAAGAAAATTTTGAGACTGAATAATGAGCCATGAAGATTCCACATACACTAAATATCAGCCTTGATCAACAATTTAGCACTATAATTCAGAATAATTTAGT